ACAACAAAATCGATCACACAACGAGCGTTGCAGTATATAAAGATGTACAAAGTCAATTTGCCCAGTTTTCACCGCTACAAAGTGTGCAAGTCACTGAAGTATTTCTCATGCAAAAAACTCAACTATTTCACGAAATCAGTGGGATATATCTAAGAAAGCAAAAAATATAAATAACCAATAATCAAACTTACAAGTCTAGACTGACTCCAAATTGCTGGGTAGGTCTTGGTGGTGTGGGTGGTGTCTGAGATCGGTAATCATTGGGTGAACTTCCCATCGCTGCTATTATTTGTTCATCATGAACGCGAATGGGATGAGGTAAGTTTAATCTAAACGGTAGTCACTTCTAAATATAGAGAAAAGAATCTGGCACAGTGAAAAATCAACGACTGGAAAACATGGCATACCTTGCTACAGAAAGGGCATCCTCCAGCTCCTTTATACAGTTCACATAATGAAACTTATCCTCAAATTTGGAAGAGATGAATGGTTTGAATAAACCCCAAATTATACGGATAAATCGGGTCGGATGTACGACATAGAGGGCTTTCAGATTCTTCTTGTATCTGAAAAGCTCTATATATATGCAAAGAAGAAGAAGCAACTTTCTAAACAATTTCGCAAAAGAACTGATTTATTAATAGAAAATCTAATTTATAACAAAAACATCATTGAAGGTACGACAAACTTCAAATGAAACTCGTGTAAAACAATTCAAAAAGGTAAAGAAGTCACTCGAAAATGAAAACACTAGAAGGTTACCTCCTATCCAAGATTTTATAAGCTTGGAACAACCATTTGATTGGAGGTTTGTTGTGACTCCTGAGGCCATAATGAAAATAGACTATCGTATAGTCCAAGTCAACCACCTAAATAAAACTACTAGACATAACGCACAATTTCTGATAAAAATTACCGACCTTATCGAGTACCGACTGTAAGTATCGCAGCAACTGAGCATGATCTATAGATTTACTCGGTGGCAGCCGGTAAGCGTAAAAAACGATGATGGGCCTGTAGCGCATGTAAAAATGTTGTACTGTGAGGACGGGTTCAGGTGGACAAAGAGCAAATGCAAAAAAACAATGTTGCATTTGCAGCCAAAAAAGCCCGTAAGTCGAAAGCAAAAAGAGAAACACTTCAAAAAACGATTTACCTTCCAACCCGATCGCCATCGGCGATGACCTCGACAATCTCATGAGTCGCGATACTGGTGAAATCCTCTTCAAAAGGGTCGACGGTCCCTAGCTCAGATTCATAATCCGATCTCTCCAAGAACGATCTGGATGGCGGCACTCCGCTCAGATCCACTAAAATTAGAATCAAATCGATACAATGGAAATCGTAGCCGGTCAAGTCATGAGTTCATACTCTACTTCTTTGCAAGAGAAAGCTTTTGGCGAACTCATTGCTATCGGATCTAGATAACCGCATCTTAGAAAAAGGGTGCTCAACACACTCATGACAATAAGACCCACCGATGGGTCGTATCTGTCCCGCCAATTCAAACACTACGACCCACCAATGGGTCATATGCCTTCTGTTTGATTTCAATAATTTACGATTGAACTTTTTGGGCAAACTAACTGAACTTTCGTATACATTTCTCAGACGCTTCTCAAAATTAACATTTCGGACCATGGGACCTATCAATGGCCAAAAAATATAACGCAAACCCTCA